AAATATCACAGAAAAGTATTTTTTAACACCAAAATGAATGTTTTTAGAAGTGTTAAAACATTTATTGATAACATGATGTTTGGTATTTTTAAGTAAAGGGGCACATATCTGTACAAAATACTTAAATATGTGAATGCCTTTTTTATATAATTTTTTTAACTAATTTTGATGTTTCTTTTGTGTGTGTATAAATGCTGATTTTTATAAATATGGTTGACCATGCACATTTATCAGAAAATAACAGCAGTAACTTTAGCAAATTTAAGATTTATTAATTTTCTAACATTTCATCAACAACCATCTTTGTAAGTAAGTCAAAATACCTAAAATTTAATGAAATATTAGATTACTTAGAATATTTTCTTAATTTTTTAAGAGTAAAAAAATTAAGAAAATATTCAAAGTAATCTAATATTTCATTAAATGTTAGGTATTTTGACTTCTAATTAAATGATTCAGTTTTGTTGCATTTTTTATTTTATGATTCAGAGCAGATTTTATGTAACTGGGGATCCTGTTCCACAAAATAATTTGATTTTCTTATAACTAATATAAACATTATGTTTGACAAAAATGAATTTCTTAAAATTTCAGAAAATTAAATAAGTGAAGAGTAACAGATGTAAAAAAAAAAAAAAAAAAAAAAAAAATTACAATTATTTTTTAAAAAAAGAATCATTTCAAAAAGAATTCATTTGTGAATGTCTTGAAAGTTTCATTAAAATTTGACAATTATCTGTTTTTTGCGAGAATTTCCAAATCAGCTGTTGATGCAAGAAAAAAGATTTTACCTAAAATATTGAAGGCTCTAAAAACTATTAAAAAATATAGTTTAATAATAAAAAAAATCGTTTGGTTTTTCCTCTTAATAATAAAGATTTTGACAATAAAACTTTGTCTTTATTAAGTTTGAGGCATTTTTTCATCATGTATGCCCATTTTATAGTTAATCTTTGGAGGGTTTCTTTAAACTGCTTCTTCGACTTACATGAAAACTACTTCTCAGAGTATGGAGTTCATCATCCAAACATGAGATGAAATATAAATTTTATTAAACACATGACATGGAAAGCACTAATACATGAAGGGGAAAGATACCTGATTTAAAAAAAAAAAAAAAAAAAAAAAAAAAAAAAAAAGAGCTTATTATCTTCCATAATACAATTAATGAAAAAAAAATTATGCAAAGACAACAATGTTTGCTAAAGTTGAACTATTTTTTTTTTTTAAGAAAATCTGATTTCATTTTAACTTCAAAAATATGACCTAATCCTAAGAAATGGAAACAAATCATAAAAGGAAAAAAAGGAAATCAATTACATTTTGAAAATTACCTAATTACAATTCAATTTTTTTTTAGAAACCCATCGCCACCAAGCTAGAATATATATCCAGTTCATTATTTTATAAAAATTTATCCAGTCTCTTTTTTTCTTTTTTTGAAAGAAAATATAAATTTTCAATTTAATTCCTACATCCCAAGAATTAGTGAAAATATTACCAGCCCCAAACAAAGTGAATGACGATTATAATGAAATTTGGACACCTTTTAAAAATTTTAATTTCTTTTTTTTAAGAACATGAGAATGCAAAATTTTAAGAATTAAAAATATATCTAGTTTATATATTTATTATTTTATATGGATTCAGTTAAATGATTTACATAAAAACAATAACTGAAGAAAAAGCAAAATACAAAAGACAAAATACAATGAATTTAAAGGAATCAACTGGAGTCAGGGTCATCAAGTCAATGTGAACAATACTTTCCTTTAGTTATAGAACCCAGTCTGTCTTATTTACCCATAGCTAGGGGAAGAAAGATTCATAGAACTTCGAGGTTGTAATCCATTATTCTACCATGCCTCCACAAAAAAATTTATGTAGTTTTAAAATGTATCATTATAGAAAATATAAGAAAAAGATATAAACTGTATTATCCATTGATGAAACTGTTATATCTCGTGCAAGATATAATAAACAAAGTAAACCCGAGTGTTGGTTTTTCAATAATAATTTTATAATCGGATGTAGGTATGTCAAAATACAGAGACAGAGTCAGGAGTAAGCTAACCGCAATAGGTGTTAACAAACGAAGACCTTTTCTCCTTACTGTTCGCTGTAGTCGTACTTTATCAGCAACCAGTCCGTCCATTATCGTGAATGGGGAAGTTGGGTTATCTCATCACAACAGAAACAAATTTGATTCAGCTGATAATCTTCATTCACTTGGCCAGAAATGCAAAATACAGCCCAACAGTTTTTCAAAAATTAATATACCTCTCTCTTTTTTGATTCAAGTGAATTTCAAGTTGCAGACATGTAAAACCAACTGATTATAAAAGTTCAGGTATTGCTCCAAGAAGGTGCAATTTTTATTTTTTAGTAATGGAGTTGAATTTCTCTGGTACTTCACCCTCTAAATTTTTACATTTGGAAAATTTTTGTGAAAGACAACTTTAAACCTTATCTCAAGTTTGCCAAATTGACAAGCACCCTTTTTTCTTTAAGAGGGGAATATTTTGATATGTATAGGAAAACAAGTTTGACAAACACCATTATGAAATTGTCAGCTTTGAAAATACAGAATAAAATGTCTGTCATTGAAATAGTAACATAATTAGTAACATTTAGTACTCTGCATCAATTATAAATATTACTTCCCCTTTTACTGTATATGGAATCCCCTCAAAATGTTTTATATATTCAAAATTTCAGTAGTCTGGCTCTCAATTTCAGTCAGGGTTGTTTTAGGTGTTGCCATAGTAGGATATAACTACACAACCAAGAAATTCAGATTCAACTTGCATCAACAGGACTAACATTTTGCTTGGCGAAAATAGTCACCTACAGAGTGCTAAAAGTTAAAGAGGCATGAAACAAAAACCCATCATCACATACGAGAAGGAATTCTATCTTTATAAAAAGAAAATACTAAATTTTGATATGATTTTATAAAAATAGTTGAAAATAAATGAAATATAAGGAGTTCAAACTGAAGGAAATTTCACTATTTTGCCATGTTTAGCAATGTAAACTAGGGTAGTTGGGGATACCTACTTCTATGTCAGTGAATGTTGGGCAATCACAACATATATGAAGAGACTTGAAGCAACAGATATTGTTCTACTGGTTAATGCTATTTTTAGCATTTGTCAGTAGAACTACATCTCTGTTGCAATCATGAACTGAACATGTGAGCAATGAGAAAGCTTTAAAGAAAATAGGAATTACAAAGAAATGAGAAACACTGAATAACCTAAGTGAGTTTGTATGAAGGGAAGACAGAACAGGATCAAACATGGGATGGTAAAGGGTCAAAAGTTACTTAAAGCAATAAAAGACAGGAAACTGGAGAGAGCCATGACTGAACCTGTCCTGAAAGTATATCACCCATAAAAAAAATAAAGTGAAATGATCAAAACATTTTATAACAATACTAGCAGCATGGTCCGGCGTTGCCCATGCTTGATTCAAAAATCGGACGACTCGTACAGCAATCGCTATCACTTGACTTAAAATATTTTTGCCCTTCCTTGCCTTTAAAGGAGTGCCCTTTGCCGTGCTGATGTTGCTACATGTCTTACTTCTTGCCTATATCACACTGCAAATTTTTTCTAAGCTCTATACTAAACATTAAATCTGTTACAAAAAAAGAACTAAACAAAATGAACACAAAACGATCAGCTTTAAAAAAAAAGGACTCATAACTGGAAAAACCGAATGAAAAAAGAATGTTAAATACTTTTTCACACCCAACCCAGTTCTGCGGAATCAGAATCAACGTTGAGTTTAAGCAAGTGAATGAGCCAATTGGAGTAAAGTGCCATGCAGATTTAAATTTTTTCCACTTGTGACGAATGCAGCTATCAATTTTTTTTGCATACTAGCATGTTAGTTAACATTCATGTCAGTCAGCTGTTGGCTCTCACGCTGGCCAATAGAATCTTCCTGCCTATTCATGGCAGCCAGCTATTGGCTCTCACTCTGGCCAGTACAAAATGGCCGCAAACTGCATGAAAACTGCCATAGAAGCATGAAAAAAATCAATTATTTCCACTATCGATGGGAGTTGGGAAATGCAAAGTCGGTCTTGGCCTTCCCACTAACTGGGAGCATGTGCATGTAAATTTTGGTGCAAAAATTGTGTCCGTGCATTCATTACACACACACATATCCTGCCTTTTATAGATAGAGATGAACAGTTATTTTTTATCATTACTGAAAGAAATTACTTGAAAAACATTAGCTGAACAGTTTCATTAAATTTAAAATTAAGAGCATTTTCATAGGACAAGTATGGATGACCAAAAATGTCAAAACCTGATATTCAATGTCAAAGGTACATTTCCAAAATAAAACACCATGATACAATGGACAATATTGATTAAATTTATACAGTCATATATTAAGATGCTAAAATGTTCTGTTTGGTGAAGAAAGGAATTTATGTAAAATTCTGTTATTTTGTGGAAGTGGGTCAAACTGAGAACTTTTTTGGCAACCCTTTGTATCTTACTCAAGAGACTAATCATTGCCTTTTATATATTGCACTGTTCATACCAAATTATATGGAGAAATGTGTATTTATTGTTTCTTCCTTTTATTCAAGTCTAGTCCCAGCTGCTCCAGTTTATAAATTTTAAGGCTGTCATTCACCTAATAAGCATAAACTTTGATATAGGTTCAGTATAGCTTATAATTTTTTCATACTCAACCTTTGGGATGAATATGTATCAGGCAGTTAATTTTACTCTTGATTTGTCAATTAAAAGAAAAATAAGTTTCTGTTTAGTTTTAATAATTTAACAATTTAGAAAAAACTGGTTTTGTGGCAAAAGACAGAAAATATGAGCAAGCGACAGGGAGAGATGGCGACAGACACACAGAGAGAGGGAGAGACGGCGACAGACACACAGAGAGAGGGAGAGACGGCGACAGACACACAGAGAGAGGGAGAGACGACAGACACACAGAGAGAGAGGGAGAGACAGACACACACAGAGAGAGGGAGAGACGACAGACACACAGAGAGAGGGAGAGACGGCGACAGACACACAGAGAGAGGGAGAGACGGCGACAGACACACAGAGAGAGGGAGAGACGACACAGACACACAGAGAGAGGGAGAGACACACACAGAGAGAGGGAGAGACACAGAGAGAGAGGAGAGACAGACAGACACACAGAGAGAGGGAGAGACAGAGAGAGGGAGAGACGGCGACAGACACACAGAGAGAGGGAGAGACGGCGACAGACACACAGAGAGAGGGAGAGACGGCGACAGACACACAGAGAGAGGGAGAGACACAGAGAGAGGGAGAGACGGCGACAGACACACAGAGAGAGGGAGAGACGGCGACAGACACACAGAGAGAGGGAGAGACACAGAGAGAGGGAGAGACGGCGACAGACACACAGAGAGAGGGAGAGACACAGAGAGAGGGAGAGACGGCGACAGACACACAGAGAGAGGGAGAGACACAGAGAGAGGGAGAGACGGCGACAGACACACAGAGAGAGGGAGAGACACAGAGAGAGGGAGAGACAGCGACAGTGCAAGTGGGAATGCAACATAGTGATTGAGAGAGCTACAATCATAAATATATTACATAGATAAAAGTAAAATTTTTTGCCAAAAATTTTCTATTCTGTTATTAATAGATTTACTATTTTGTTGGAAGTAAAAGATACATACTTAAATGAGTTACTGTCTTAATGTATGCTAAAAAAAATTTTTTAACTGCACTTTAATACAAATTTGGTAGTCTCATATTTAAAATATTGTTAGTACCAGCTGAAATTAAACATTTTAATTATTCAATTTGATTACCAAAAATAAACCTTATTAACATGAATAATTTTACTAAATATTAATATATTCTACATTAAAATTAAATAACTCCATCAATTAAATTTTTTTTACACTTCAAGAGACTTGAAAGTTATATGAATTACCTGCAGACTAACCAGGTTATTTACACTATTTATATTGTTAAGACTGTTGTCCTCACCTTTGTTGCCATATTCATGATGTTTCAGCCCATTGTATGCTTTGGCCATCAAGTGATTGGAAGTGTACAATAGTCAAAACATAGTGAATATAGCAACAAAGATGACAACAGTTCAAACAATGTTGTACATAGTGTAAATAATTACAATATCTCATCTCAGAAATATAGACAGATACTAACCAAGTGAGATTTATTTTCTAGTTTTAAGCTGCAACTGAATCAAAGAGTAACTTATCCAGTAATAAGCTTTGGTTTTATTTTCTATTAATATAATACTTTGGTTTAGACTGACTATACTACTGATGTCAGATAGAGATAAAAAAAAAATAAATAAATAAAAAGAGCAGGTATTATTACTACTAGAATATCAAAATCATATCCAAAATTGACAATTCTATAATTAGGATCTGGGTGTGTTTAGAAAGATTATATAACTCAAAACTATCATAAGAAAAAGGTACAATCAATTCCATGTTCTGCAATGTTCATTATATATATTTTTTTTTTTAAACTAATGAAAAAAAATTACGGATGAAGATTTTAAGATATTCAAATGGAATGAAAATTTTGTCTTGCATACAAAAACAATTCATAATCATATATACACTTTTCACTTTTTAAATTTTATTCAGTTCATTCTTTCCCCTAAAAAACAGATTTTCATTGTCAGACATATCATACTACTAATCCCATCCCAATACCACTGATATAAATAAAAGTAAATAAACTTTATGTGAGGTGTATACAAACTTCAATGATTACAATTTCAAACTTATGAGAGTAAAGTAAAAGAGATATCAACCTACTAATAAATGATAAATATTTTAAAATTTATTTCACCTAATGACAGATCACATTTTATCAAGAACATTTCACAAAATAACAGGTTATGCCAAACTAATAAATTATTTTTTTCTACTGCAAAGTCAGTTCCAAATTAGTACAGAACTTGTATCGAAGTAATTTTAAGGGTCAAAATCTACAATATTAATGAATTTTATCTCTGAAGTTGTGGCAAAATAATATTGTATCCTTGCATTTCTTAAGAATGATGGCTAATTTCTACACATGAAAGCATTTTGTATCTCATTTTAGTGACTTAATGAGGAACGAGGGTTTTGACACTCAGTGGACATATTGATGGCAAAAAGGGCAAAGTTAAACTGAGCAAGTTATCTAACAAGTTTGAGTAAATAAATGACAAAACAAGGAGCAGGAAGTTTAGTAAAAAGCAGACATTGCTAAAAGTTACAAAGGATAGGAAGTTGTGGACACTGACAGGCCACCAAAAAATTACCCCACATGCAGTATTTGAGGGACATGAAGACCATGAAAAAATGGGGTTCACCAGGAATTGGTTTTATGAATAGAGCTTAGCTCTGAAACTATGATTCCTGGAAGTGAACAAACATGTTATCATTAAAAATATCTCTGAAAAATTCAATGGAATTGCAAAATATTTTGCTGCTTGTTTCATAGAAATCCCAGATTTTACAGAAATATTTGCTTTTGTTTCTTGCTTTGTGTGTGCTTTTGTTGATATACAAGTATTGGAATTTGCTTTTCTGTATGTATGGTATGGGACTTCATTTACCAACAAATAACATATTTCTGCTTTTTTACCTATTACCATATGTACTAGTGTTAACTGATACCAGAATATTTCTTTGTAGTTATGATGAATTTACTCTATGTGAAGATGTTGCTCCTTGAAAAACAATTTTCAATAAATGCATGATGAAATATACTAAAATTCCAAAAAATTACTTCACTTCTTTAAAAAAAAAAAAAAAAAAGCACCAGTAGTATAATTTGTACTAATACTGTTTCTTCATGGTTAGGGAGAACATCATATCAGTAAGGTTATAATAGATTTTTTTTGGTGCATTTTTTTCCATGCCAAAATCCATGTGCATCCAACAGGCTGGCAAATACAATAATTAATGTTTTTTGTAAAATAAAGGTTTGCTCTATGAGGCTCAATTTAAGATTTATTTAAATTTATCAATTGTCCTTCTCAAATGTCGCTCCCCTAAAATCGTTCTCTAACAAGTTACTAATAGAGATAATGACAATTTTTTTTAAAATAATAAACTTGAGAAATTTAGAAAACTATTTTGGAACTACATTATCAGATTTAACCTTTTAGAAAGAATTTACAATGTTCTATTTCTCTAAGTCAAAACTTAGATGAATCAAATTAATCAGTCAAGTATTTAAGTATTTGAAAATAAAAATAAACAGAGATAGAAGAGCAACAACAAAATTTTAGATAAAAATGAAAAGGGGGGGGGACAGTTGCGGTTTCTAGAGCACATAATTAGGAAGGAGGGCTTGGAAAATATGGTACTCACAAAACAGATTGACGACAAGAGAAACAGCATAGCCTACTTAGTAAGTTTGAGAAAATGGGTGGCAGAACAGTTTACAAGAAATAACAGAAAGAGAAAATTTATTAATAGCCACAATAAACAGGTCGTTGTTGAGTGCCATGAACGCCTATGTCCTAAGGAAACATGGCACAAGAATACAGAGCCATATATATATATATATATATAAAAAGAAAGAACAGTAAGATATATAATCCCATGTTCTTATAGATATTTTTTTACAAAATAGTGCTCAATGTAAATTTACAGAGCATTAATATTATAAATTAATTGATTTAAAATATGTTTTTTTTTCCGCTACACAGTTCTAACCATGTTTCAAAAATGGAAACTAAAAGCCACAAATTTAATTGTGCAATTAAATTAAAGACATTAGTTCCATTTCATCCTCACTTGATGTGTTCTTCAGAAAAACATGAATATTTGGGGTTTCCACAAATAATGTAAATTGGTTATCTGGTTATCATTTCAAATTCATGTCAAAACCCAGTGGACAAAATTCCAACAAACAAAAAATCCATTAGAAAAAAAATTGTGAGCATGAAGTGTATACAGTGAGTACCTGCTTATTCCAGTTTCAGCATTCACAGCTTCACACATTCAGATTTTTCTTTAGAAGATATGTACTTGTTATTTGCGGAAACCCCAAATATTCATGTTTTTCTGAAGAACACATGTACAAATAATTCATGGAGAACTCCCTCAATTCAGGCATTTTTTTGATAGAACATATTTAAAATGTTCTTGTATTATTTTCCTGTTATTTAAGTGACTTAAAACATAACTACATTTTTATGGTAAAAATTGACAGAATTGTACATCTTCATTACAAGAAACAAACGCAAAAACATGCATAGTGCTTGGGCTTTGTTAGGAGCTAGGGTCTAAAAAGTGGCTTATGCTAAGTCTGGGGGCATCATTACAGTTCTGTTTTTAGAAAATGTTTTACATTTTATATCTTGTTACACATATTTTATATAGTATTTTCAATGGTTGTATCGATCTATGCATAATTAAAAATGGTTATTGTATGTATGAAAGAAAATTTACACTAATAAGTGTATAGTCACAATACTATTTTTCAAAAATGTTTTAAAAAGTTTCTAAAGTGTTTAGGATGAAAGTTTAAGGCATATGGGGTTTTAACAATCATCATAGGTACTTATAGGCACTTTTAGGGGGGATTCACTGCATGAAGTAAATGTATATATTTCAATTTGACACTGGAATGTAGGTTCCTCCATTAGGTCACGTAAAAAAAGCAGCATATCACGATTAAAAAACGCTCGATTGTGACAAGGTGATGACAGATTACTATAGATGATCAAAATTGACAAATCTTTGCAAAGTAAGCGAACGCGGTTTTTCGTTTTTAAGTAGTACTTTTTAAATATTAACATTTTTATTCAGCAATTATGTAATATCTATTTTTTATTTCATACTTTCTTAATTAGGTAATTATTTAAAGTTTTTTATTAATTAGATAATTGTTTAAAATTTTTTAAGGATTATGTCATGTATACATTTCCATAAGTAGAAATTATGAACGTTTTTTTTTTTTTCAATAAAATTTTTTTTTAAATTATTAAAATATTTGGGGTCAAACGACTTATGTGCATTTCAAATTTCAATTCATAAATTCACTTTTTCATTAACGTTATCATTAGGTGCTTGAAAGCAATAAAGAATTTTAAATGATTTTTGAAGTATTAAGAAGTTAATGAAAAAAAATTTTTAAATTTGTAAAAAATACATTATTCATCGAAAATTTTTTATTTCTTCACAAAATGTCCTTAGTATAACGTATTTATAAAAACAGGTGAAAGCTTTTCTAATTAATTAATGTCATAGTTTTTTACATTTTTTTTTTATAATTCAGAGCAGATTTTCTATGATATGGGGTACTGTTTTACAAAAAAAAAAAAAAACTGGTGATTTACTTTCTACAAAGAGTCCTGTTTATAACTAATAAAACAAATCCCGCGCTTGAAGATTTAATTTCTCGAAATTTCATGAAAATATGTAAGTGGGTGGAAACATGTTAAAAAAAAAAGTCTCTTTTTAACAAGATTTTCTAAAAAAAAAAAATTTCAAAAATAATTTCATTCATTTGTAAATAAGTCCTGAAACTTTCATTAAAACCCAACAATTATTTGATTTTTGCAAGAATTTT